TGTTTGATGTCACATAGTGTATTGATGCTGGGTCGTTATGTAACTCGTGAATGAATTGTAATCAGACTTGCAGGAATTTCTTTTAGGTTGTATATTTTCTAATTCAGGCAATACCTAGGGTTGTTTGAACCTGTAAGAAGCCAAAATCTAAATGTTTGTCTTTGATGGTTATACCTACTTTTCTGACGTGGCTTTGTCTCTTGGGGTGTCTGTGATACATGTCATCACAGGAGAGGCAGAAGATCTGATGAGCACATTTATCACAGCGCACAGTGGGAGTAGAGCATCCACACAGGTCACAGTGACGACCATCCCCTCGTTTCCCATCTCCTTTAACACGTTAGAGAATGTAGATACAAAAACTTAGATAGTAGTAGTAAAACAGCAACGCTTCTAATTTGTTATGTGAGCTGGTAAAATGTCTAGCTACAGGTTTTATGACTGAGGTTTGATTCCTTGCAGGGACAAAATATTTCTCTTTACCACCACATCCAGTCGGTCTCCTGCCCAGAATTATTTTCCCAGGGGTAGAGTGTGGAGGTGACCACTCATCTGTACCTAGTAGATTATGCACCTTGTCGGCTTTGATGGTGTTAAAGTTACCATTTGCCTTACATTTTATAACTGTTAGCCTGTTCAGATCAAACACTGACATGTAAATTAGGTATGGATTTTGGTCTTCTTTCTAAGATATTTCCAGTTTTTACATTAAAAGTTGGTGTATAATTTAAACTATCCGGTACTTGTGGGTTATCGGGACACATCGCTTTAAAAATAGGTTAGGTTAGGTTAATGTGTGTTTGGATAAATGACATATTTTATTTCAATAAATGACAACTAACCTAACCTAACCTAACCTATTTTTAAAGCGATATGTCCCAATAACCCACAAAAACCAACTATTCTAATATTGAGTTCTGTTTCGTCCTTGGTCATCTGTCAGCAATGATAAAGTTGTTTCTACATTGCATTTTATTCCTGTTAATGAACACTGACGTGTATCCTCCAAAGGCCATTGTTTCTTGACTGGTTTTTCATGTCTTTCCTAGTTTCTGCAAGGAAAATACCGACATAATGTTTTACAACAGGCTGCTATGGCTTCGTACCACATCCTTTCCAGTTCATAATTGGCGTGTCTTCAAAAACTGAGGTACTCTTGAGCCTGCAATAAGACAGGTTAGTTTAACAAGCTGTCGATGCTTTGGCGTACCTGTTGCGGTGGGCTTAGCGGGAAGTGGGGCGTTGGTGTACGCTTGTCCAGGGAACTCGATCACTTCATAATCCGGATCCAGAGGCGGGGGTTCAGTGGTGGGCAGTGGTGGTGGAGCTATGTTTTCGTCTGGCTCCCTGGCGTGCTGTGAACACAGTACATCGTGGTGTTGCAGTTACAGCATCAAGAATATCGAGATTTGCCTTGCAGTGGGAAGAAAAGTTCACGGATTTTTAATTCTAGACCACCATATCTAACTTTGACCGTCACGGTGGTCTAGCGGTTAGAACGCTGGCCTTGTAATCCTGGGGTGCCCGAATTTATAACTTGTGTTGGGCAAGGCCGTGGTCTAGGCAACACGGAGATTTCCTCCGGGACTTCCCCGGTTTCTCCGTGGCATCCCAACAATTACTCCATTCAGACACAGAAGAAGGCAATGGCAAACCACTTCTGTATCACCTGCCTAAAAAACATAGTCCCAGTCCGAGAAAAGGATGGAAGTATCCTGTTCATAATATGTCGCCAACCTCCTGTAAAGGAGACGGTGTAATAAATAAGAAGATATCTAACTTTTCGGCATATTTGTAAGTCGTAAATTTGTTCAGGCAAGTGTTGGTATATGAATATTATAGTGTGAACAGTCACACATACAGTTTTCGAGGGAAATGCAGTTGTCTTAATCACATCACGATGTTGAATTCGTGTCCAAAGGGAAAGCTGATTCATCATTAAACACCGAGAACATTCACTGACATCAGACCATCCAATGCCCAAGGCTGCACTGGATCATTTTAATGTTGTGGTTTGAGTTGCTTCTTAACGGAAACTTTGTATTTGCTTTAATTAACGTAGGCTACAGTTTGGTTTAAGTTTGTTGCTGCTATTGTTGTTTGTTACAATTCTCAGAACAGAATAATGTAGTTGGTACATTCCTCCGTTGTTAATTGCGTGGTATCTCCTTCGGAATGTTGAAAGTTTGCTGGCCAAGAAATAATTTGCGTTTATGACACGGGAAGGGTCATTACCGTGTTCGCAGAAGGTTTCATCGGACCATACCCTGGGCCACATAATTTCACCCCACACATTCACATCATGTATGAAATAATTTGCGTTTATGACACGGGAAGGGTCATTACCGTGTTCGCAGAAGTTTTGTAGACTGTTACCTACGATTTGGAGGAACAACCCAGTAAGTAATAACCAATTTAGGCCTATTGCTTTTTAATTAATTTTTCCTGGATTGTTATTCAATAGAACGTGACAGTTGAACTTTTGAAGTTCAGATTACCTGATTTTTAATGTGTGATTATATAGTGTGTAATTCTATAATTCTTGCTAGCCTCGCCGTACATCGTCATAGCTTGAAACTTTTAAAATGAAGTAGGCGTCATAATTTTATGGCTTATTTTCTACCTTTTACTATTTATAAGCCGCTCAAACTTCACTTCTGTATTCTATGCAAAGTTTCAGCACGTGAGATGTGAGAACTTGCATTGTGCGCTTATCAGAAGACCAGAAAGGATGGATATATTATAAGCCGTGGGCGAGTTTCTTCCATTCCACTGCAACGCCAGTAAATCTTTTCCGTATTTTAAAATAACCAGAGCAGGCCAGCCAGATGAGTACTGCAACTCTCGTCTTCACGTGCTTGTCTGTGCCAGCGATGATTTCCGGTGCTTGGCTGGCACAAGTGATCGCCTTCCTTGTTGTGTTTATCCCCTTCTCATCAACCACCAAGTGTTCTCTTTTTGACAGTAACGCACCGTAATGGGAAGGGGGTTTAGGACACTTGACTTTATGGGCCGTAGTGTTGTGTCTTCGTGTCAAGCACCAGACGTAAATTTGAAAGAATACAGATAGGTTGACTAGCAGAAATTTCGATTCATGGCAGCTCGGGGGAGTCCTGACGAACACGAGCAAACACCAAAGATCACCGAATGAATACCCGCCCAAGCCGTGTAGACGCACCTTTGCGGGAAGAATTAATTCTTTAGCAGAGCTCAGTTCAGGTACGGGGAAAAGGGGGCCTTATTCAGATGTTAAAATGAGCGACAAGATGTAGCCGCTCGCTACTTACTCATTGTCGTGATTTTGGAGGCAGATAGTACCTCCGAAACGTCTGTATAAACTTTTACCAGACGACACCAGAAGAACGCTGTAATTTTCATACTCGCCGATGTGAGAATCTCAAATATCAAAAGAAATAAATTGCTTTTGTAATTAATTTTTTTTCCGGAACGCGACTTTCTTCAATAAAGCAAATATCTTCGGTAACGTGCAGTTTGAACAACGTAAACGTATGCTTTTTGTAACTTTAATTTTGTGCGAATTTTAAAATATGCTTTCAGAGTTCAAGCCTTAATATGCCGTTGAACCTGCATATTATACGTGCTGCCAAGATTGTTCTATTCTTGTGTTTTTACATATGAATCAGCGCGTTCCTTTTAACGGCTTGATCTCGCTCATCGCATCTTATACCGCTGCTTGAACCGCCCGGAAACATGGAATGTTGTGTGAAATGGCTGTTATCAACGGATGGCGGAATATATTCTGTTGCTTACGGTAGAATAATTTTTGTTGCCCTCGAACATTAACTAAGAGAAAGCAAATCTGTTCATTTAGATCCGGGGGTTTGAAATGGGCGATGCATGTAGCATGCAGTGGACGATACAGTTTTAGTCGAGAAATTTAAAAGGAAGATATCGTTTCGGAGGAGGACAGAATTAACCAGGATTTCGAAGAGTTAAAGTATGTGGACGGGATTCACGAGAGAGAGGATGGGGACCATCGATGGATTCTTTTGGACGCCGTAATGAAGTTTCCGGTTTCATTAAAGGCGACGAATTTCGCGACCAGGCGAGCAGTCATTAGCTTCCGGATAAATGCTATGCCCCATGTAATTATAAGAAACATTGCAATGCCAATTCTGTAAAAAAGATAACTGCGTCTCTTAATGCTTGGCAGAGTATCGTTTCTTTGACTAGGTTCAGTTTGTAAACATCTGTGACTGATCTAATATTTTGGAATCACTTGCGACAAAGAGCGGCCATTCGTTCATGTGAATCTGTTGAAACCTTTGTGCTGATGCGAAACTACGACACACACGACAAATCACGAATCGATTATCCACGGGTCAAGTTCCTCTTTGCTCACGCACAATTTTGAAGCACGAGACAAAAGGTTTCTGACGTATTAGTGCCACATGAAAACGCAGTTCTTCACTCGTGTAGGTTGGTCACAGTGTAATAATGCCGTGAAGACAAATGACAGGTTCGTCTTCGTTACGTCTTCCATGTACGAACGGTTCAGTTCATTAGTTCTTTTCGTTCATCGTGTTTGAACGGTTTTGTGACTGGACTTTGCAAGACCACGCGATGTCACAACCCAGAATACCGCAATCTGAACTTTGGCTTACTTTTTTCTCATAGAACCTGTACGTCCATCATGATCACATGCCCTAAGCTAGTTCCACCGTGTTTATTTTTCACATCTGTTTTTCTAAACGGTACCATCTCTTTTAATATTATCCTGCGATGGTTATCGGTCTCCGAAGAGATCGCTTCCTCTTTTATTTTCCATCTTCTTGATTTAATCAGTCTAATAATACACGATAAAATGTGGCAAATTTGAAGATTTGGGGAATAACAATTTAATATTAAAATTTCATTTATGAAGAAATTAGGTGAATAAATTCGGGGAATGTTTGCTACTGTTCAGTTCAGAAACTTTCGTGTTTCCGCCCGTCTGCAACCGTTCAGATTAAAACATATAAAACTAAAAGTTTGTCTTTTTTGTGTGTGGGTGCGAAACTTGGTTTCTCACATTAAGGAAGGGTGCTGAGGAGAATAGTTGAACCCAAAAGGAATGAAGTGACAGGTGGCTGAAGAAAACTGTGTAATGAATAGCTCTGTAATCTGCGCTGTCCATAAAATACGAGAATTATTAGTGTGGTCAGATCAGGGGTTTGTACGGAGCATGTAGGAAACATGAGTGACTTTTGAAATACGTGCACAATCTTTGAATGAAGATAGAACTTGGAAGATTTGAGGATAATATTAAAATTGACCTGAGATTTGGTGATAGGATTTGGACTGGATTTATCTGGATTAGGCTGGGGTCCAATGTCAGATTCTTCTGGACACGATAATGAACATTCGAGTTCCATAAAAGCCGGGAGAGGTTCCTTTCCAGCTGTGTGACCATCTGCCGCATGGAGTGAGTTAATAATGCAGGATGAAGCTCCCTAATTCCTGTCGCGACTGTAAAATAACATCTCGTAAAGATTGTGGTGTAGCCTGCAGTCTGTTTTGTTGCCGAGTGTACCTTCCGGTAGCAGTAAAATGACTCGCGGTGTTCCAGTCACGTGTACAACATTGCGTTCCAGTTTTTACAACCCGATCAATGACTATCAGATCACCACGCCAGGGAAGTCCTCCGTAATGTTTAACACCTTCATATTCCGTACATGTATTAAATTATTACATAACCATTAAAAGATTCGGGGAGAAAATTAGCTATGTGCAAACGTCAAGTCTTGCTATTCATTAAAAGATTCGGGGAGAAAATGAGCTATGTGCAAACGTCAAGTCTTGCTATCTATTAATACAGAACATGGCCTTTTGAAGTAATGCAAGGGGTTTCGTGTACATGCTGGGGTTGAAGTCTGTCCCATCCACTTGCAAGTCTTCCTCCAAGAGCCTCCGTATGCCATAATGCATTTGAGTGTAGTGCATCTTACATTTCGGACTCAGTGAAAGTTATGGTAAATAACTGTATTGTACTTACCACCCAATGGGGCATAGCGCGAGCAGCTCGGAGCCGGGTGGAAGGATTGGAGATCGTCATAGGTCGCCATATCTCGTTGCCCGAACTCTGTAATAAAAACACGTTTTAGTCAGTTCAGTTAAAAGATGAGTCAGTCAGACGCTGTTAACTGCAGAAGTAATTAGTACTGACTTGCGTGTCAGCATGATCACGCGTGATTAATTCGAATTGACAGGGAGAAAACAGTTGTGCCCTGTTTTGAAAGAATTATTTTTGGCGTTCATCGGAAACAACTGACGAAAACATGAGAAGATTTCGGAATGAATGGTACTCCGGCCGAGATTCAAACCGGCCAACTCTTGAATGCAAGTCAGACGTGTTACCGTTCGTGCAAGTATTCTGTCTGGTATTAGAAAGAGAGGATTTGAAAATGTGGGTCTGGAAATCGTAAATATCATAACTGAAGTTTCAATTTTTTTTCCCTCGGGTTAACCTAAATATCTGATGGGGTTGTTGAAACGTGATTGTCGCTGAGTTTGGTTCTTGTGTCCCTCCTGCCTTGTGCTGTATCTGTAATTGGTCTTCTGGCTGTTAATACGGCATATTAATAATGAACTGATTTCCGTCTACGTCAAGCCCACCTAACGGACGTCTTCTGTTCGTGTTTTCCGACTGAAATTTTGTATACATTCCACGCGTCTCGCTCACCATGTGCACAGCTGTCCTCATGTTTTCTTTGTGCCCATAAACATCTGTACCTGTTAGAGAACTGGATGCAAACTAAACTGGTGGAATTACATACGTTGGAATTATTTATAAATGATAAGATTTCAACTTTTTACGGCGACGAATATAAAGGTGGATGTCTTCTAGGATGTTGGGTCGTGTAGATATTGACGGACGTTTCAGAGGTGCTTACTGCCTCAATCATCAGGCTCTGATGATGAAGGCAGCAAATGCCTCTGCAAACTCCACAAGACAGTCTTCTTTCCGTTATTACTGAGTCCTCCCTGAAGGAAAAATGTCTCATGGAAAGCATTACAAGGATTCGGTTGTTGTTCTTTGTTCCTTTTTTTAGGAGTGACTGAAATAATACATGAAAGAGAATGGCCATGATAGAGATTCCATATTTCAAACTAGAGAGGGAACTTCTTCATTTAATTCGGAATATTGTAAGAGGTAATTTGTTAAATTTTATGTTGCTGTAGATTAGCTAGTAGAGGTAGTCCTGTTTATCGAAAGGCTGAGGACGTAAAGTCCTGTTTATCTCAAGACCGCGGCCGTCAGTTGTCGTCTCCCACGCCGAGCCGTCGCTGCTCGCCTACTTATTTCTTTTTTTTTCCCCTGTAAGGTCACTCGACATATCGGAATTGCTTCACGGGAATGATCCTGTTATTTTCAGGACTGGTAGAGTACATCGCGAATGATTCTGTTATTTTCAGGACTGGTAGAGTACAGTGGTGAAATAATGTGTGTATGGCTTTTAGTGTCGTGTGAAAAAACTGTAGTGGAATAGTTTCGTATAAAAAGCTTGATACTACACACACAAGATCCGGAAATAAGACATTTTTACCGGAGAGAAATTGAACGGCGACAGAGACGTTTGATTAGCATTCAGCTCAAGAAAATATTTGCTCCGCACAAATTTCATCGTGGTTAAGCACAGAAATTACCGAAATTGGTTTAGAATTCTTAAAATATATGTATATGAAATTGGCTGAGGTCAAAGAAACCCTAATTATTATGTATTAATTAGTTTGTTACAGTTCTTTTAGAGTTGTAAAATAGTGCAACTTTGTCTGTAACTGTAAGTGAAGTCCTAGAGAGGACCGTCGTTTCGTTTCAAATTTGTGTAGAAATTGCTGGGTTTTTCTCCCTAGATCTGTACCGCGTTCACATACAGCCCTAACGTGAATGTCGACACGTAGAAGTTCAAAAGTTCGTGGCACTTTTATGCAGTTCAGCGATCAATAACACTTTTCTCCGTACACGCCTCTTTCACTACCGGTGTGTTACAACTTCGGGAATTTACGTACACGTACGAGAACTCAGTCTGCGTGTTCAGGAGCCCAAAAGAAGGGGCAATAGTTTGTGGCGGCGAAGATACTTTGCTGCAAGGCTAACACGACGGCTGTAGCAAAGAGGTAGTGTTAACGCTTTGTGATGTGTTTTTGTTGTTTGTTTATTTCTCTCTTTTGATCTTCCTTTGTTTACATGTTTTATTTTCTCTCTTGTCGATTTCTTTCTTTCTGATTCTCATAGTGAAATGTAAGTACAATTCGTCACTCGGAATATGCGGCCTACGATTTCTGACGAGTTTACTTTGAAAGCTAAACCAATGTGTGTGTGTGTGTGCCATTGCTTTTAATGTAACATTTGAAGGACTAGAAATTCCGATTTAATTAAAGTCGGGGAGACGAGTTGGATCTTGTGTCTTAGGCTTATATGGGCTGGCTGCCAAATTATGAGGTAAGGCAGGGCTCCAGGAATAAACATTTTTCCGCTCGTCTACCCGTTCACATGTTCTGCTTGCTACCCGCTTCCTCACTCCTTGCTCTCAGAGTGTTATCCATTGAGACGTTTCAGTAGCCTCGGTTATGTCATGAATTTTCATACTCCGTGGGTCTCATTTTAGCCCTGCCCCCACTGTCAGCACGTCAGCTTATGAGGAACTGACCGGAAGTACTCAGAAAAGAATATAATTTTCGATGTGTCGCGTACTTCTTCGGGAAGGACGTAGTTGGTGCCCGAGATTAAAGTACTGAGGAGAAGCGAGGTTAAGTAACACACGACGATGGGAGGAAAAGAGTTAATGAAGATGTATATAATCTACATTCTTCACTAAATTTTATTAGGGAAGATTAGGCTTGTGGGATGTGAAACAAAATTTTGGCGGGAACGCCTAAAAGAAAGAGATAAATTGGGAGAACTAGGCGTAGATGGATCGATAATGTTAAAATTGATCTTAATGAAGTGTGTGTGGACTGGATTCAACTGGTTCAGGATAGAGTTTAGTTATGAGCTTATGTGAACACGGTTATGAACATTGGTGTTGTGTAAGAGACGGAAATGTCTTGACCAGTTGTGGATTTTTTTTTACTTTTGAAGGAGAATTCTGTGCTATAAAGTTACTAGGAGGGAATTAACTATGGTACGAACTTTGTAGACGTGCTGTATACTTGTGCACACAATTATTTTATGAGTTTGGAGGACGTCTGGTCCACCGCGAAAGCAGCATGTTCACTGCTGTAGTAAATAGTGTTTCGAAACCGAATTGACACTAAGTGTTTGCTCTGTAGTGTAACTAACGGTAAAAAAAATATAATAATACTTCGGAAACTGTATATATATTTTATATTTTTGAGTGATTTGTAATTGTGGCGTGTGATAATTTGCATCCAACCGGTGAATTTGCAGATGTGGACACACTTTTCGCACTGCTGCTTACGACATTGTGGAAATGCTTGAAGTACGAATTTTTCCTTGCGATTTTGAATACTGACATTTATTTATCACTTGCAGATGTTTCACAGTGAAGGATGCTTTAAATTATACGACAATTTTAGATCCTTCTGATGCGCATAAATTTTTATTTTATTTTGTATTTTACAAGCTTTGAATGTGTCTGGTAGTTTTACTTTTTAAATTTTTAAAACGTGAGCTCCAAGCCCCATTAGTCCAGCCTTCGGTCCTTATTTTGTTTGTCCCGTAAGGACATCTTCAGTATGGACTGGGAAGGAGAATTCGTTTCACCTCAAGTTTCAATGCTTATTTCTGAATAATCGTCGTGCCTGAATAATCAACTGGCTTTCTTTCTCAGGGAATATATTTATAATCCTTATTATTATTGTGTCATATTGTCGGTTGTAAGCCAGTGGGTCACTGGAGTTTGACCTTTGTGAAGGATGTACAGTGTGTACGAGCCCTGGCAAAATAGATTACGTTGTCGGAGCCTTGACATTGAATTAATATACAAAACATCAGGTGATAAACAGACCTTGAATGACAGCAGAGCGTGTGTTACAGTTATCACTTGTGTCCTTGTCGATTTCGTTACGAATTTCGTGTCTTACAGTACATTTTTGAATTTGCGTTTAAATTAGCCCATCATTTAATTTTTAGGCACTTTTCACTGTGCGGAGAGCGTATTAAAATCGCTCAGTCCGTCTGTCTGTATGCATGAAACCACTAGAATGGCTGGAGTAATTTTTATTAAATTTTTTATTTGGGGGTTTTACTGAAATTTCTCCACGCATTCAAATTTTGGTCAAGGACGAAAGTAATGAAATCTTTTGCACGAAGACCTGCATGCGCTTCGAAGTGAGTTGGATAGTGAATTCCGTAGCCAGGAAATTCCTCGGGCATTCGCGAGTGTGAAAGGTTAAATTCCGGAAGTTTATTAAAATACGCTGTAGCAGTGTTGTAAATGCAAACACTTGAAGGTGGTTGAAGGCAAGAATTTGAAGAACTCACGAGTTCGGAATTCAAATTGTCTATGCAGTGTAGTTAAATTCGAATGTTACTAAGCCGTTTTGATACATTGAGCAGATTTACCACTATTAACCGCAACTGGATAATTTTAACACTGACTGCGTTGATTTACGTCATCTGCCGGTAATG